TTTCTTGAAGGTCCCTAAGTCGTATCGGTCCGGAAAAATCGCTGGTGGTAATCGATTCCACAAAGAAGTTGTGCGAGGGAGAAAACTTCTTCTGAATCGCACAGTGGTGGACCGCCAATCATCCAGATGAAATGGATGGTATCGCAAGTTTTGTCGCGATGTGCGATGGTGAAATTGAGCGGCTGGAATTAGTTCGAACAATTCCTCAGAGCACTCCTCATTGTAGATGCGATAAATTACGCAAAGAGATGCAACATGTCTACGCAGTGCCACTGAGTCAAGCCGAACGGAAAGAACTCGGTCGTAGACGATTCGGACCGCTCTACGCTGGATGCGGTCAAGTGGAAGGAGCTGGCACTGAGGAGCCCCTGCCCAGAGATGGGAACAGTATTCCATGTGAGGCCGAACCTGCGCCTTGTAAAATTGCAAGCGGTATGCCCGCATGAAATACTGCCCCGCTCTGCTGAGCACGCCAACCTTTATAGAGGCTTTCCAAGTGACCACGAAACTGCACGTCACTCGATATGTCGACACCGAGGATGCCGATACTGGCTGAGGCAACAAGGGGAGTGCCTTGAAACTGAGTCGATACGACAAAGGGGTTCTTTATAGCGGTAAACGCGCAAACATGTGTCTTCTGGGGATTGAACTGGACTAGATTTAGTCGCCCCCAGTCTGAGACTTTGTTCAACAAAGTCTCGATTTCAGACACAAGTTTGTTCCGGTACTCGGCGACGTTTTCCCTAGAATTATTGGCACGGCTGGTGTATAGAGCATCACCAGTGCTGTCGTCTGCATAGCAACGCATGTTACTGGTTTGCATCATATCATTGATATGCATAAGAAACAGCGTTGGTGATACCACGCAGCCTTGTGGAACACCAGGGTTAATGGGCTTGTAATCGGAGCATGTACCGTCTACTACGACCTTGATGCTCCGATCTGCAAGAAAACTGGTGATCCAATTGCACGATTTCTCGGGAAGCCCATAGGAAGACAGCTTCGAAAGAAGCGCTTTCTGCCAAACCCGATCGAAAGCCTTCGCTATGTCCAAACCAACGGCCAACGCCTCCCCCTTAAACTCCACTGCCTCAACTCATCTATGAGTCAGGTAGACCAAAACATCACCAGCTGAGCGACCTCGTCGGAAACCGTACTGGCGGTCACTAATCAGCTGGTGATCCTCAAGGTACCGCATGAGCTGGCTGTTAATAATCGTTTCCATTACTTTGGAGAACAAGGAGGAGATAGCGATAGGCCTGTAGTTGGACAGATCTGAGCGGTCGCCTTTTTTAGGGATCGGGTGCACCAAAGCTGTCTTCCATGAGTTCGGGACTACGCCTAGGGAGTAGAAGTACCGAAAAAGATGCGTTAAAACCGGTGCCAACTCCGGAGCACACGTCTTCAGCACAATAGGTTGGACTCCATCAGGACCACTCAACTTGTTGACGTCCAGGAAGAGGAGTGCTTTACGCTCCAAGCGCTGTGTAAACAGCACTTCCCGAATGGAGAACTCACACCGCAGGATGGTCGGCGGTGTGTTCTCCCCGTCATCTAGAGTCGAGTTGGAAGCAAAAAGAGAGCCTAGCAGATCGGCTTTCTCCTTTGCGTCATGGGCCAGTGAGTCGTTCACCCTGTGCAGAGATGGCAGAGATGGCTGACAGAAGTTCCCTTGGACAGCCTTGGCGAGAGACCAGAATGCACGTGTTCCCGAAGAGAGGCGAACTAGTTTCTCGCCAATTCTGCCGATGTGCTCTGACTTTGCCTTGGCAATGACACTTTTGAAGGACCTGGAGGCGGAATTATACTTCTTTTTAAGAGCGCTGGTGTTTACATCCCGGGACGTTGATGCGTCAGTCCAGGCCTGGTAGCACTCCTGCTTATAGCGTGATGCTATTTTACAGGAGCGACCAAACCATGGCTAGGATCTGCCTCCGATGGGCGCCACAGAGGATGGAATAAAAAGTTCCATACCCTGACGTACCACATCAGCAACAGAATCGGCAACAACGCTAGGATCTTCTGACAAGAAGCAAACCCACCCCCAAGGGTAGGATGCAAAAACATCCCGTCCCAATCGGCCGACCTGTAGTGCCAAACACGCGTGAGTGGCACCGTACTCCGGATCAGACAACGGTCCGAAGAGCCCAGAGGGGCATGGACGGAGACCTGATATCCGTCCGGATGAGAGGTCAGCAGCAGGTGCAACAGGGAAAGTACATGATCCTCTATATCTGGGATCCGCGTAGGCGAAGTAACCAGTTGTGTTAGACCATATGCCAAGGCAAAGTCATAGTCGGTTAAACGAGAACCAAGCCATTCAGCGTGGTGGGCGTTAAAATCACCGAGTATCATGATCTCTGCGGATGGAAACTGTTGTAGCACGGAGTCTGCAGCCATTTGGACGTGGTCGATGAGTCGGTCTATGTCAGCATTATCGCTATGGGACCTATAGAGGCACCCGTAGACGTGGGGATGGTCGTCGCTGTCTACGCGCAGCATGGACATGTCCGTACCTTCAAGACTGCCGAGGCGTCGAAAACAGATGCCCTCTCTGACGTATACGCAAACTCCAGCCCGGGCACAAAAGAGTGTTCAAATTTGTACCCCGGGTAGGAGAAATATGAAGTATCAGCCGGAGAGGACACCTCAGTCTCGGTTAAGAGCAAGGCCGGCTTCGCCGTCTCTAGATGGTAATGGACAGCGTTAAGGTTGGAATGAAGTCCCCTGATATTACAAAAATTCACGGATAGCGTGAAAGGGGTCGCCTTGGTCTTATTGCGACTGCAAAAGCTGCCGCGTGGCTCTACCACTGTTAAAATGTCTTTGGTATCATAAAAAATTGAATTACTAAAGTACAGAATATTACCAAGTAAAATAATATTTAAACTAGAGAACATACTTATGCTAGGTATATGTTTTAAATTATGCGACTTTCAATAAAATTATATTACATCTATGTATGTTATTAATAAATGTTATCTAAACTTCGCAAATCTCTTATATAACGTACAATATCTCTGACTGCAGGAATCACCTAATGGGGTAATTAATACTAATCATGTGATAATTTAATATAGAATAAGGGTGACAAACGAGCTAACAGTCCAACTAATAATAAGATGCTGTGGCCAATAAGCATAAAGGTATATCGTCGATTAAAAATATAAATGGAGATGCACTGTCACCACTAAGAACTAATATGAATGCCTTGTTTGAAAAAAGATCTCCGATTATCTACACCATACGAAACGCAGCGGACTTAGCTGGTATTCTGTGATTTCGTGTTTGCTTTAAGATTATTAAAAAAAATTATGTAGTCATGTAGTCGAATGATGGATTAGCTTAATCTATCATTCGAATCCATGTATGTAGTCATGGATTATTAAGCTTACTAAGAGTGGATAACGGGGTTATTGGTAATATTCATATTTCTCCTCGAATACCTTTTTAAATAAGAAATGCCGAAAGTCCTGTCAATTTAATTCAAAAGAAGCCAGCGCGCCTTGTGATACGTGTTTGGAATATACTGAAACTCTTTAGTTGTTAGCGGATATTTCTTTGAACATCAAAATAAGGCGGTGATCGAATCGACACGTTAAAACCAAACGCTGGTTCGATGGTTAATTTATCAGCCGGATTTGATGGATTTAATGGGCTTTAATTAAAGCCTGTTTCTCAGATTCTGTTTCGACGATCTAGTGAGCTTTGCAGGATGTCGATGGATGCAGGTGGCTCAGCACCTTGCTTTGTGGCATTCCTTGGGGCAGGCCTATTTTCAGCAGCGGACTTGTGATCGGCTGCAATGATGATGATGATAATGAAGCTGCGTAAAGTAGATAGTAAGTATAATACACCCAATGATAAATAACATTTATCATTGGGTCTATTGGGAACTGGATTAAAATAAGGTAAAAATATAGATACATGACATCGCGTCTGTAATCCCAAGGGGTTCGGCAGAGGAGCAAACTATTCGAAATACGTTTAGCTAAAAAAATATGGGTTATATATGATATAAAACCCACATAAAATTGGGAGCTAAATGTCACAGACAAAAATGGGACTATTTAAAAAAACACTTAACAGATTATCTTACATACCTGACGTGTTTGCTTCGACAATATATTGTGTAAACTAGAATCGTATCATCAGCATCATGTTAAAGCATTAGAACTTGATAAGAAACATCTCAAGTGTTACCTTATCAACGATTCGCTGATAAATGCTGTAGTGTGTCAAGTGAATCTTGTCAGAAAGATTTCTTCAATTTCAAGATGGGTCTAATAATAATAATAATATTATTAACAAACATGTTGAAATGTGTTGTAACTTTGTAGCAGGATTATCAAATGAAATTACAAATAATTCAATAAATATTTATTAACGATAAAGTATCAAAAATAACGATGTATCGCACGACGAGAGAACGATATGATTTATATGTAACACTATCATTTTAAAAAGTATAAAACACAAGCTCAGGTAGAAACACCTAAGACATATACCGATGACTTTTTTCCTTAAGGAAAAATAGAGTATAATATATGACCGAAGTTGATTTTTTTTTTAAGAAAATGAAAGATATATATTCCATAGACTTATACTTCGCTCACATACACCCTATTTGTTTCCTCACAGAAAAAAGTTATTTGGTTACCTAAATTACCTAAATTTAACATTATTTCCGTGTTATACTTAAAATAAAACTATTTTTTGTACATGTTTCTGTTTTTTCAATCGTTATTTCTCCATCAAATAAATAAGTACGTGCCTGAATATAAAAATGAATAAATTGAACAATTTTATTCATACAACTGTAATTTGGAATTTGTTCTTGTTCTATTTTATCGTATGAATATTTTTATCTTAAATGTTTTGCTGCCAGCAATAAGACTGACTGTACATTACTTAAATTGATTGTTTACTGATTCGTATGATTTTATTGTAGGGTATGTAACACTGAATTACAAGTCTAGTCCCAATCGGCTTAACACATTCTATCTTATCATTATTGCAATAGATGTCGTCAACAACAACATGACGGTAGGTAATACTGTAACGGCTGAACCTCTTGCCGCTTTTAGTATCATATCAGCTCTATCTGTGCCCCATTGCATATTAGCTCGGGCAGAAGCGATCGCATTCAATCCAGTCTGGAATTCTGGAATGTTCGACTGATTCGCTCGAAGCCAAGCTTCCATCTGCAAATTGAAAATGATTAAATCAGAAATGTAATATCCAATACAATCTAAGTAAATACAAATAAATAAAATTGAAGTGTCTGTTTGTGATGTGAAAAGAGCAGCCTTTTACTGTCTTCCTTGCTATCAGACACGGTAATGAATATTTCCATTTCAGATAATTAATAGAATCAGGCGTTACTTTGCGGAAATCAATTATATTAAATTTGGTAAAAACAATACATCCGCTCGATAAAATAAAATGATGTGTCTTACCTAGTTTGAAGAGCACATCCCACCCTCACTCAATTGCCTGCACTATCCCCGTCACCACTACTCTCAACATCTCTACACTAGGAAAAAATACCACTGGCGACAATACAATGCTGTTCAAACTAGGTAAAACACATCATATATTATTTTATCGAGCCGTATATGTCCGTAACGTAATTTTTACCAACTTTAATTTTCATTTCAGTTCTCGGAGTTGACAACACATCTATGGTATTTTTTGCATGAAGTTTGGTGAATTACATGCATGCATCGTTGCCTCTGTGAACTTCTATGCACAAAGTTTGGTGAATTACGTGTTATTTCCTTTCAGCTATTTTCGAACTGTGACATCATAACTCTAACATAATAAAAAGTACTTACATCCTGAAGACCTTCCTCGTCTAAGTAACTCGCCAAGTTACTGAGGACGCTTTGGAACCAAGTTGGCAAAACGACTCTGCAATAAAAAAGTGATAATCAGAATTACTTATAACAGAGATATAAATTAAAAATAAATATTATTAAAAAATGTTATTTTTTTATAATTTTAATCTAATAAGAGAGAAAATCTATTTAAATGCTAAAATTTAGCTCTTTCCATTTATAATGATACCTATATTAATTATGAAATAATTAAAATAAAATAAGACATGTATTCTGATTGTGGCCTGATATGGGTCCTGGGTTCGAATCCTAGTATTTTTAAACTGCTCGTTTGTCTGCGAGCTGCCTCAGTATTACACAACATATTTTTTGAAAATTTTTGGATGTCTTAAGAGTCGTCATCAATAACATTCTAGTTTTAGTTTATAGTAGACTAGCAGTTCCCCGCGACTTCGCCCGAGTGGAATTTATTACGATTGTATTTTATGGGATTTCATTTTTTTGCGCGGAACCCTAATTCCTTTTCTAAAATAAATGTAGCCTAAGTTACTCCCTATAACATGAGCTATCTGCCAGTTAAAGTTCCGTCAAAATCGGTTCAGCCGTTTCAGAGATTAGCCGGAACAACCATACAGACAGACAGACAAAATTTTTTAAAATTGTGTATTTGTTATAAGTAACGTATGTACTTTTATATGCATTTAGTAAAAAGCTGTTATTTTGACTTTACAAATAGACACTTCAATTTTATTTATTTATAGTAGATTTAATAAATAAATAAATATTCGTAGAAACTAATTAAATTAATTTTCATCAAGCAAACTTTACCCACCAACATTAAATTGGTTTTTCTAAATCTGTTATTGTTATTATTGATTCCTTTGAATGCCTCGTTGGTCAAGTGAAATCATGAAGTCCCTGGTTCGAATGCCGTTCGTCCAAAAATCGATTATTAGGCTTTCCTGTCAAGAAATTCTCAATAACAGCCCGGAGTCAAAAAGTTGGCGATGTTTCAGCTTCAGAAACGCAGGTAAAGTCATTGGTCCTGCGCGCGATCTCTCTCCGGTCTTGTCGGATTGCCGTCACATCGGACTATGAGAGTGAGTGAATGGAGAGCGCACTTTAATCGTGTCGTGCGTTAATTTCTGTTGATGTTGGTTACCGTTATCGCAATTTGATCCAGTCGACATTATTATACGTGGTACGTATTTTATACGTGGTAGAACCATGCTGCAGCTATATTAATAGTATAGTTGTAGCACGAAAGGGTCGGCTCGACCGGGTAAGGACCACGCTCTCACAGTATACCACCGTAAAATAGTAGCTTAATGCTGCTGTGTTTCGTATGGTGAGTGTAGAGAACCGGAGACCCTTTTTACTAGAAAAGAGGCATTCTATCTTATTCCTCACGGCTGGCAACGCATCTGCATTTTAATTCGCAAACGATCTCTTCCGATCAGTTGGACTGTGTGCTCGTTTGTCACCCTTATTCTATAAAAACAAAATTAGATTAACCATTTTAAAATATACTGAATTTTTGAACTTGAATTATATTTTACCTAAATAATTATAGATCATAACACTTACGCTTTTCTAATATCTTCGATCCTTTCTTTTATAAATTGCAGAGCCACCTTAGCATTGTTCCGATCGCCAGCATAAAGGAAGGTCAGAGCGTTTAATCTATCCTGTGCTTTGACATCGTCACTCAAGACCATTTCTAGAAACCTGATAAAAAAAAAAATTCCTTTACATTAAAAAAAGAAGTTACCCTACAATTATTTGTTGGTCATACAAATACTTGTTCCGTGCAACTCATTGCAAGTCACTGCGCCACGGAGCCCGTCAATTATATACTTGTCGGAGGGTCTATAAAATATCCGGTTGGATCGAAGTGGAAATGAGGGTATATCGAGAAACCCCCACTTGTTTGTGCAGTATAAAGTTCACTGTA